CCCGCCCTGCAGGACGTGGTCAACCGGGCCGTGGAGAAGCTCAGCGGCGCCCGCCGCCGCGACGGCGGCCCGCTCTTCCCGTCGGAATGGGAGACGGCCCGGGAGTCCGGCTCCAAGATGGCCACGCCCACGGACGGGGAGGAGCTCTACGAGTCGCCGCCCAGCACGGCCTCCAGCCGCCGGACCGAGCAGAGGAAGAGCAAGTACCAGGGTCGCGGCAAGGCCCAGGAAGGGGGCGCTCCCGTGCCTAGCCCTCAGGTGGCCACCAGGTTCCGGCTTGACGTGACAGCCACGGAAGAGCCCCGCGTTTCAGCATCCCTCCCCAGGCACGAGGGGCTGGACCCGGACCCCAGGGTACGGAAACCTTCCATTCCCGTCTCCGAGCCCCTGTGCTCCGGCCAGCGGGCCCAGCCCTGGCAGAGCCCGCACCTCACCCCTCCCGCGCCCTGGGAGGTGGCGGAGGCGCCCTCCCGACTGACCCGCGGCGCCCCCCGGGCCCTGGTCCCGCTGGCCTCGCCCCGCCCCTCGTCCTCGAACCCCTTCTCCGTGCTCTCACCCCACACCTCTGCGCTCAGGGGCCCCGCTCCATCTCGGGCCCTGCCGGAGCGGGACGTGACCTTGTCCAGACTGGGGCCTGGGGTCTTAGGGCCAGGTCTGCAGTGAAAAGGGTCCTGTCGCCACCACTCCTAGCCAGGACTGCTGTCACTGGCGGGGGGGGGGGGGGGCAGGACCCAGGTTTCTTGCCAGGCCCTTGTGGGTACCACCTGAGCCGGGGCGGGGGCGGGTGTGAGCTAACGAGTGGACTGGGAGTCAGGGCCCAGCCACTGCCACATGTTCTCAAAGATGAATAAAGGCTATTTTTTATTCTGGTTTTTTTTTTTTTTAACGTTTGCACGTGAGTCTCAGAGGCCCTCCCAGAATGGGGCGGGTCCTGTCCCTTGCGGACAGCGACCTGAGCCCAGAGTAGGCCCTGTATCTGAGGTCTACCCACTGTGGTCCTGCCGTCCAGGGTGGGACTCTCCAAGCGAGTCCGCCCGCTGAGAGGGCGTTCCTTGGGCGGGATATGGAGAGAGGGCGTGGTGGCCTCACCCTGGCGGCTCACCCTGCTTTCACCCCATCGGGGTTCAGGCACGCTTTCCTCCTCTGAGCCGCGGCCTGGGTGAGGGTCGTGCAGGCCCCCTTTTGACTACACGGGGACTGAGGTCACTGGCCTGGTCCTGGGCCTGACCGACCGGGCTGGGCCAGCACATGGGACCCCCACCCAGCTCTCCCATGGGCCAGCGGAGCCGACCTGGCGAGGCCACACCCAGCGTGGAGCGGGCGCTGTGCCGTGTGGGTGATGCGGAGAATGTTCTGGGTGGGAGGGAAGCAGAGGAACAGCAAGGATGGGTGACCTGTCTCCCTCGCCCTCCCCCAACTCCCGCGCAGAGCCCCGGCTGCAAGTTCAGCAAGAAAAAGTCGCTGCCCTCCATCCTGTCCAAGTCCAGCACCGTGTCCCAGCTTTCCGACCCCTGGCACAAGGAACTCGTCGACTACCTGAAGGATCAGGCCGTGTCCCTGCTCATCCACAAGTACAGCTTTGAGAAGAACCTCACTGACCAGCTGGGCTTCATCTCCTTCCCAGTCACTGAGGCGCTCATGGACCTCTTCCTGGGCTTCAAGAAGGTGAAGGGCTCACGAATCCGCCTGTCCTCCACGGTAGACTGGCACTGCCTGCTGCACAGGCTGGAGGAGGGCAAGTCCAGCCAGCGCTCATCCCGGCTGTCGTTCCGGTCCCCCTCCCGACTGACCTCCCAGCACAGCACCCCCCGGAAAGGCACGAGGAGCCCCGCCATGCCCTCCGAGGTCTCCGTCAGGGGCCGCAGGATCCGGGACAAGCNGCCTGTCCTCCACGGTAGACTGGCACTGCCTGCTGCACAGGCTGGAGGAGGGCAAGTCCAGCCAGCGCTCATCCCGGCTGTCGTTCCGGTCCCCCTCCCGACTGACCTCCCAGCACAGCACCCCCCGGAAAGGCACGAGGAGCCCCGCCATGCCCTCCGAGGTCTCCGTCAGGGGCCGCAGGATCCGGGACAAGCCCATGGGGTCCTCCCGCCTTGACAGGAGGCCCCAGGGCTCCCGGCCACACCCCCCGCAGGAGCGCTCCAGGCCCCCGGAGGCCAAGCGGTTCCTGTCCCCCACCAACGCCAGCGTGGCCTCCCATCCATCCAAGCAGATAGTGGATATGGAGGACCAGCAGAGCATTGAGGAGGAAGACAAAGAGGAGGAGCAGGAGGAGGAGGAGGAGGAGGAAGACTTCTTTGGAGATGAGGACCAGCCCCAGAGCTCCCAGGAGCCTCCAGGGGAGGCTACAATCAGCTCCCCCGTGGAAGGCTCCAGGGCAGGCCCCAGTGACCCCCCGTGAGGCCCCATGCGGCCTCACCAGGCACTCCATGGCCCACTCCTCCTGCCCCCGATGGCCACTGCTATTGCACCTGCCCTGCCCGAGTAGAGGCCAGAATGGCTGGTACCCATGAGGAGCTCCACTGAGCCTCTTGTGGGAGCCAACAGGAGAAATAAAGCTTGTTGACAGAGCAGTTTTCCTGTCAGAGATCTCAGCCGTCCTTGCACACACGCGCCCCCACGCCCCCAGGAGACCCTCCGTTGGGCCAAGCCCGGCCTCCCTGCAGCTGCTAGTGCCCTGAGCCCTGTGACCACCTTGGCTCTGCTCCTGGCGTCTGAATCTTCCTGGCTCTTCAAGCCTCTTGAAAAAGAACAAAAGTGAAAGTCGCTCAGTCCTGTCCGACTCTTTGTGACCCCATGAACTATACAGCCCATGGAATGCTCCAGGCCAGAATACTGGAGTGGGCAGCTGTTCCCTTCTCCAGGGGATCTTCCCAACCCAGGGATTGAACCCGGGTCTCCTACATTGCAGGCAGATTCTTTACCAGCTGAGCCACCAGGGAAGCCTCTTAGGACTCATTGTCTCCACCTCACACGGCCCCTGGGATTATTGCTTCCCCTTCCAGAGAGGGGCGGCTCTGCCAGGACACAGCGACCCTCTGCTGGTCGGTCAGGCTGGACTGGCTGCCCCTTCCGTAGTGGCCCTGTGCAGGACAGGACGGCTCTCTCTCTCTCTCTCTCTCTCTCTCTCTCTCATGGTCTGTGGACTCAAATGGTGCCATGGATGGAGGGCCTCATGTCCAAGGCCCTCCCAGAGCTTCTGGCCATCCTGTATCCCCAGCTCAGCACCCTCCTCCCCTCTGCCTTCCTAGGGCAGCCTGTCTGTTCCTGTTTGGGCATCATCACCTCCACCCTGCCCCCTGCAGCTCCAGGGACTCAGGGAGAGGCATGTTGGCCTCCCTGACTCTATCCCTGGGGTCTCTGCTGCTCTTGGATCAGCAGACAGCTCTCTTTATTCCAAGCAGCAGTTACGGAGTCCATGTGCTTTTTTGAGGGGGGGTGTGTGTGGGATTTTACCTCCCTGACCAGGGATTGAACCCACACCCCCTGCAGAAGCAGCAAGAATTGTAACCATGGACTGCCAGGGATGACCTCCGCTGGTCTTGGGACACTTTCTTCACCTTGCGGGGAGATTACTTGCTGTGTCCTCACAGTTGTCTGGTCCCAGCACAGTGGGAAGCCATTGGCAGCTTTTAAACAGGCACCTCGCGTAATCTGATTTATGCTTTTTTTTTTTTTTGATTTATGCTTTTTAAGAAAAACCACTTTCCTGGGTGGAGAATTTCTTGGGAGGGGCCTGAGTAGCAGGGAAATCTCAGCAGTGTGGTAGAAATCTGGAGGGGACATGGGGTACCTTGGTTTAGGGTGCTGACGGTGACTCAAGAGACATGTCTTCCAAGCTGTTCAGAGTCAGAGCCATCAAGACGTGTTGGGGTAGGAGGGGTGCGGTGAAGAGAGGAATCAAGGATGAGTCTCTGGTTTGGGGCTTGAAGAGCTTGTGCATTTGTGAGCAGGGGTGCCATTCCTCAAAATCAGAAGCCTAGGGGCGAAGCAGTGGGAAGGAGGCTGCAAGTTCTGGTCTGGTCATACTACATTTGAGATGTTCATTGGTGTGTCTGGATTGCACTCTAGCCCCTCTGCCTGGGTTGGAGGCCCCTCCAGGACAGGGTCTACTAAATCCAGGGCAGATAGCATTTTAGACACTGAGTGTTGAAAAGATCAAGGCACCTTGTCCTACATGGAATTCCAAATAAAGACAATGTTAAGCCTGAAAACTGGGACTTCCCTGGTAGTCCAGTGGTTAGGACTCCACGCTTCCACCATAGGGGGCGCGGGTTTGATCCCTGGTAGGGCAACTAACAGCCCACAAGCTGATCAGCACCGAGTCGGGGGGAATATGAAAGCCAAAAACTAACCCATTGCTGTAATTGAAATGACTCTACTCTGGATTTTCTGAATGCTAAATTCTGGATGATTTAATCAAACATGCATTTTTTTTTTTCCCCTCCCTGCTTTGCTGGTGCCCCAAGTGCGTGAGCAGCCAGCCGATTCCTGGGCTGGGCTGCACTGAAGGGCCAGGAGTGAAGTCAAGGTAAGAATATGCCACGAATGAATAAATAAACAGCAGTGTCAGTTTCCCGGCTTGCATGACTGAGCAGACAGCTCTCTGAGAAGGCAGTGAGTCCCCGGCCTGGGACACACAGTCACCCAGGTTTCGGTCGCAGTCACTTGGTCTCCCAGGGCTCCCGGTTCCCAAGGCAGCTCAGGGTCTTCTGGTGACCGCAGCTCCCTGCTGCCCTCTGCCGCCCAGTGGCCTAGTGACCATGAGATTCTGCCCTGGAAGGGCCCAGGGAATTCAGAACCCCCAGGGTCCAGGGACACTGATGTGACCCCATGTCAGGGAACAGTGGTCGGGCGACTGGAGGATTAGGTCCAGGGGCTGAAGGAGCATGTGACTGCGTATCCGAGACGTGTCCACTCGTGACCATATAATCTAGTGGTCGAGCAACCTGAAGACCCTGCAGCTGCGGACCCGGGGTCCGAGGGGGACACCAACACTGATGGCCAGGGGATCCGGGATCAATGCCGTTGGGTCCCAGGGTCGAGGTCGTCGGGAAAGCGGAGGTTGCGCGGGCCAGGGGGCTGGGGGTCCTCAGGGCCGGAGGCCGGCGGTTTCGAGGGCGCGGTGGGGACGCCGTTCGGAGCGGCGGACCTGGGCGTGCTACCGGAGGCGGGCGGGGGGCGGGGAGCGGCTTGGGGAGCCGTTGGGTCCCAGGGTCGAGGTCGTCGGGAAAGCGGAGGTTGTCCGGGGCGAGGGTAGGCGTTGCCACGCTGACGGCCACCCCGGGTATGGGGTGTCGTCCCCAGGCAGCGGCCAGCAGTCGGTGACCGGCGTGGAGGCGTCCGACGACGCCAACAGCTACTGGCGGATCCGCGGCGGCACGGAGGGCGGGTGTCCGCGCGGGTCCCCGGTGCGCTGCGGGCAAGCGGTGCGGCTGACGCACGTGCTTACCGGCAAGAACCTGCACACGCACCACTTCCGGTCGCCGCTGTCCAACAACCAGGTGAGCCCCCCTGGCTTGTGAGCGGGGGGCCTGGGCATCTGCTCAGAGCCCCAGCTTTCCTCTGTGAAATGTCAAGTTAGAAGCGTTTGCCCGGCGCCCACTCTGGGAACAGAGAGATGACCCCCACCAGCGCCTACCCCCTGGAGCCCTCAGTTCCGCGGGGACACATCTGGAAGAGGCGTCCGGCTGGAGAGCTCCACTCCTGGGCGGGAGCTGGACCCAGGAGGGGATCCACATGGCTGCTGGGGTGGAGAATGGGAAACTTCGCGGGGAGGAGGCACTCAGGCCGGCCCTGGAAGGATGAGGAGGAATCCAGGGAGGAGAAGGGCATCTTCCCAGGCCTGGGCAAGAGCCTGTGTGCGAGTTCATCGGAACTGGGAGGGTGGTGGGGCTGGGACAGACGGTGGTTGGGGGCTTATCCGAAGAAAAGGATGAGATAATAGAAGCTTGACTGTCAGCCTGAGAGGCAGACACGATGCTGAGTGAGGGTCAGAGGAGTTAGGACAGAAGGAACTGGAGGAGGAGGGAGGGGGGCGGTCTTGCCTCCATGGGGGCCAGTGGTCGCCACCCAGGCAGGTGAGGTGGGGTGTGCATATGTTTGAAGAACCCGTGTTGGGGGGCCTCGGGGCTGAGGGTGGGTCCCAGTTGGCAGCTGCGGAAGCTGAGTCTCAGGGAGAGGTATGGGGAAGTGAGTGCCACTGCCAGGCAGGTGCCCACAGGGGACTCAGGGCTTCCTTTGTCGCGACCGCTGTCTTCACCCCCTCTACCCCCACAGGAGGTGAGCGCCTTTGGGGAGGACGGCGAGGGGGATGACCTGGACCTGTGGACCGTGCGCTGCTCAGGGCAGCACTGGGAGCGGGAGGCCGCCGTGCGCTTCCAGCACGTGGGCACCTCCGTGTTCCTGTCGGTCACTGGCGAGCAGTACGGGAGCCCGATCCGGGGGCAGCACGAGGTGCACGGCATGGCCAGCGCCAGCACCCACAATAAGTGGAAGGCCATGGAAGGCATCTTCATCAAGCCCAGCCCGGAGGCCCCTGGGGGCCACGATGAGCTTCGGAGGGCAGCGGGGAGTGTTGTCTGCAGACAACTCTCAGGGGAGACTTTGGGTTTGTAGGGGTTCTCAAGTGCCTTTATGATTAAAGAATGTTGGTCTGTGGTCTCACTTTGCCGTGAGCCTGGGGCTGACCCGAAGCTGCCAGCTGGTCCCGCTCAGCATCTCTTCCTCAGGGTGAGAGCTCTGTCTCCAGCACAGCTGGTGGCTGGACCCGTCCAGACCTCTCTGACGCTCTTCTGTGCACTCTCCACACTGCCCAGGGCCACCGCAGCCGCCTCTCCCCACTGGCCCCAGTGACCCCAGCTGAGCTCCATGAACCTTCCTGATAAGGCCTGGGGTCTTAGCAGATTGCAGGAGCCCTGCTCCCCACCAGCTGGGGTGGGCACAGGCTGGCCAGTCCCTTCATCCCTTGAAGGGCTTCCCTTCCTCCTGACACCCTTCCCCTGGCAGTTGCGACAGTCTGGACCCTTGCCTTTGACCCAGCACTGGGCTGGGACTCTGCCCATCTGGTGGAGATTCACATGGCAAGATCCCTGTCTCTGTGCAGATTGTCACCCCCCACACTCAGCCGGCCCCAAACCGCGGAGGCCCTAACAGAACTTCAAAAGATACTGCAAGGGAAGATAACCACAGACTGCCGTCTGCAGACATCTGAGAAGACTTCCTGGAAGAAGAGTCACACTTTGAGCTGCTAAAAGGTTGAAACTTGAAGGAACAGTATAAATCTGCTGGCCCTTGACGGAGGACGGTAATAGCAGTTTTGCTGGTGCGTGGGTGACCTCTAGAGGTGATGGCAGAGATTACAGGCTGAAGGACTTGAGCTGCTCGGTTTAGAGGGTGCCGGAGAGCCCGAGAAGCAGCCAGGAGTGGCAACCAGTGGGAAGGGCCTTGGAGGAGGGCCAGCGCCTGACTTCTGAGAAGTCAGCTGGCCTTAGGGGGTGAGAGAAAAGCTCTAGCCAGTTGTGAAACCTGAGGGGACGGAGGGTCATGATTATGCCCTTTACTCCCCTGTCCCTTCCCCCACCAGGTCCTGCTCTGCTCAGACCTTTTGAGCTTCGTCTACTACCCTCCACTTCTCTCCCACCGCTCATCTGACCTGAGACAGGCGTGCAGGCAGTTTGTTGGGAAGTGATCCCAGAAAACTGGGGAAGGAGTGGGGCTGAGAGGAACAGGCAAGGCAGCCGGTAGAACATGCAAGTGGGGGGCACTTACCCAACCTGGGTACCTCCTCTCACTGGCTGAGGGCTGCGGGGCGGGTGGGGGTGTCCCTCTTCAGTCCTTCCCACTTGCCCTGGATTCTGCAGCCAGAACGAAGCCCTCAGGGGCTGGTGGTGAGCATCCTTTCCGTAGAGGTGAGTGCTAATGGGGTGTGGGCGCCGGCAGTGTGGACCACACCGCCAATCCCAGGGGCACTCCTCTGGTCTATCCCTGGCCCCATTGGTCTGTGAGAGCCTCTGTTACCGCCCTAGCACCACACACACACAAGTGAGTGTTAGTTAACAGTGGACTCCAACAGTGCATGGGAGGAATCCTTGGGAAGTCGAGCCTGAAGCTGTGAGAGCAGGTGAGGTGGCTGCAGGCAGAATGCAGGAAAAGACCAAAAATTAAAACTGCAGTAGCAGCTGATCTCTCGTGTATTGAAAACTAAGTGCCAGGCACTGGGCCAGCGATTTACACAGCGTCTCATTTGGTCCCGGCAACAAATCTATGAAGCACAGCACGTTCAATTATAGTCTTAATTTTTCAGAGGAGGTTTACCGATGTTGCTAAAGATGCAAACCCAGCTCTGCCTGCCTTCCAAAACATTGCTCTCAGGCTCTGGACTGAGCAAATAAAAGAGGAGGGGGCCCAGATACGCAGTAGCCTAAGTACTACCCCCTCAAACATACACACTGCAGCTCTGTGAGGGCCGGCGGCGCCATGTCCATCCTCCTGGGTCATCAGCCCCCCGGGAAGCACTGAATGAATGCTTATCCACGATCACGCAGGGACCCGAATGGCGCCCCTTTCCCCGTGCCTTCCACGGATCCACAAGGCTCCGGCGGGGGTGGGCGGGGAGCTCCAAGACCGCGTCCCGCACACAGTCCAGGCCCACCCGGTGGTTTCAGACAGATCTCATTCGGTTCAAGTCCAGCGATGCTGTGGGGTTGAGCAGGGAGGGGGTTACCCCAGCCATGAAGCCCACTGCAGCCGAGCACGCCACTAAGGGAGGCACCGGGAGCAGTCCCAGTACGCCAGACGGGGCAGCCTGCAGCCGCGCCGGCGTAGGCTTGAGCGCGCGCGCGCGAGGGACAGAACATTTTCCTCCGGTCGTAGCCCCCTCCGCAGCGGGTCTGGCCGCGCGCCCGGCGCCCCCCACCGGGCTTCCAAGCGCCTCTTCGGGGCGGCGATGAAAACTCGCGAAGACTGGAGCTGCGAAAAGGCGGGCAAAGTTCCCTTTGATAAGTTATGAATGGGGAGGCAGTGTTCGCAGAACTCATTGTTAAAACCGCGGAGCCGTAGCCTCGGCCCGCGCGCGGCCAATCAGGGCCCGCAGGCTATTTTGAAATCGCTCTGGCCCCAGCCAACGGGCGCGTTCGGGGCGGAGCCGGCGCCGGCGCCGGCCAATGGGCGCGGCGCTATGCTAAGGAGCCGGGGGCCGGGCCGCCGCCTGTCAGCGGGTTAAAGATGGAGCCGGCGGCCGGAGGGCGCCACGAGGTGCGGGGTGGTCCTGGGGGGAGGCTCGGGCGGACGGCCGCCCGGACTTCTCTCCGCCACCTCCCGAGACCTGCCGCGGCCCGGGGGGAGGAAGGGGCGTCCGCCGCGTGAGTAGCTGGGTCCGAGGTGGGGGCGCGGGGCAGGGTGGCCCTCTCCTCCGGGGTGGGGGGGGTGGTGGTGTGGAGGGGCGCAGCCCAACATCCCGGGCGTCCCGCTCCGAGCAGGGGACCACAGAGGGCCGGGAAGCCCCCTCGTCCCTCTTCTCTCTGGGCCGCCGGGTAGGGAGTCTACCGGGACAGAATGAGGGGCCCAAGCTGGGAGCCAGGGGCCGGGGACGGGGGCCTGAGTTGGCGGGGGGCGCGCCGGCCCGGAGTTAGGGGGGGGTCACCCTTTTTTCCGAGGCGCAGGCCGGGCAAGAGCGCAGGGTCCTCAGGCTGTCTCCACCCTCGCCCCAGGCGCCAGTGGGCTTCTGACCGCACAGGAGCGCGGGCCCCTCTCCTTTGTGTGTGTGCCCTATCCGCGGTCCGCTCTCGCTCAGGTGCTGGAGCCGCCCCTCTGTCTGGGGTCGCATACCCACGGCTCTCCGGAGGGTGCCGGGGAAGGTCTGGCTCCCTTGGGGGTCCTGGGACCCCAAGGACGGCAGCCCCGCGGTGAGATTCCTTCCGCGCCCTGCTGTCTAGGAATGGGCCCTAGCCCCACCCACCCAGGGTTGAGCTTGCTTCCCGCCCTGCGTCTACCGGGGGCGGCGGGAGTCCCTCCTGCTGGCCGCAGGTGCTCTGACGAGGTTGCACTACTGTGCTTTGAGGAGCAGTGCAATGATATTGTCAAAGCATCTGGGACCAGCCTTGGAGACCCCTTCCCCCACAGTGCCACTTCCCTTCCCCAGGCCGGCCCGGCCTGCACGCCCTCCCCTCCCCCTTCCCAGTGGGCTCTCTTCTCCATGGAAACTTGAGATCCTGGCCAGGCCTGGGCCTCTGGGGTCAGAGGGCACCCTTCCCCCAGGCAGAGGCCCCGCCCCAGTGGGCCTGCATTCCGGGTCTCAGATCCAGGTCGACCACCGGGAGAGGCGCTGGCAGGCCTGCCTGACACTCTTTCCCTGTTGCACTACTGTGCGCCCCTGGGAAGCAGTGCAATGATGAAAGGGCATCGGTCAGGCCCCGCTCACCACCCACAGCGCCCGGGCAGGGAGTCTGGCCGCTTCACTCCACTAACCAGCAAGGAGGCACAGGTGCGGAGCTGGGCCTGCGGGCCCTCCATTGGAGGATCAGAACGGCAGAGCTGGGAGGTTCTCTCCCAACCTCTCCATCTAGGTTGTGGCTGGACAGGGGGTGGGGCAGACTCAGAAAAGCTATGGTTTGAAGAGGATCTTTGCAACCAACTCTCAGGTAAGACTGAGGGCTCAAGGTTTGGTCAGGACCCTGTGGACAGAGAGGCCCACTGCTTTGCCTGAAGGGTCGGCCTGAGCCTGGCTCAGACCCAGCTTCACCTGCATTGACTTCCTGGGGGAGCCCTGAGCCTGGCCCTCCTGGCATGCCTGGGGAGAACGTTCTGGGTCCTCCACGGAGCAGTGCTAGCTGGGGTGGATGGCGGGCTCAGGAAATGGAGCCCCGTGCCCCCCACCCATGCCCACTTGTTCTCTTACAGGAACGTGTGCTGCCCTGAGCCTGCAGGCGGGACGGTGAGGTGCCCAGCATCCCACCCGCACAGCTGAAATCGCGCGGACCGGAGCCGACCTGCCACAGAGATTGGCCCCAGGCGTGCCTGCAGGGCCCCCTCAGCATCAGGACCAGACACACAGGATTTTCGTGTGCCCAGTGGCAGCCATTCAAGCCTGTCTCCTTGAGAGGGGCCCATTTGTGTCTGAAGGGGCATTTGGGAGTGCCCTTCATCAGTGGCTGTGCCCAGAGGGACGGTGACCTCACCCCCTGCCCTGGGGTGGGAGCCCTGGCACCCTGGGTAGGATGAGGGGCAATGGCACCTGCTTGTCTACCTCCTAGGCCTGACCCCTTGGGGCTCCTCCACCCAGGATCACCTGACTCAGGCCCCCCTTGCTCCTGTGCAGACTCTATACCCCATGGCCAGACACGCCATGCAGCTGTTTCCTGCCTTTGCTGGGAACTCAGGTCTCTGCTCAAATGTCCCCTCCTAAGGAAAGCCTTCCTTGGGCTCCAGGGCACCCAGTGTTCCTCGACCAGGGCCTGTTAGATCACATTTCCACCTGTGGCTGAAGCCCTCTTTAGACCAGGAGCCCCTGAAAGCAGCAAACATTTCGTTTTTGGCAGTGCTCAACACGGCATACTTTTAAAAATCCAAAGAAACATATAAAGCGTGAAGTATCAGCATAAACATGAAGGGGATGTTAATCAAGGGCCTGCCTGACCTCTCAGAGGATGCTTGTCCTGGTATTAAAAAAGCACATACTGTGTATTTTAGAGTCAAGTCCTTAAGTCACAGGTGACCAGCCAGGCAACAGAATGGAGATTTGGAGGCAGGTGTGTCTGAGTCTGTCTGCAGCCCTAGGCAAGATACACAGGCCAGAGCTTCTCCTTCCTTGGAGGAGGGAGACCTTAAAGTGGGAGGAAGTGAAGGCCACCTGTGTTGGGGACAGCTGGGGCTGGTGGTTCGGAGGTTTGGTGGTAGGAGATGAAAAAAATCTCAAGATCTTGGGGCTGACAGGAGGGGGTGTGGGGAGGGGAAAGAAATAGCACTCCACGGAGCACCCCCACCCCACCCCCCGGCAGACAAAGGGCCTGGGCAAACTCGCCGCCCGGCCTCCCTGCGCTCCGGGAGGCGGCGGCGGCGGCGGCGGAGGCGCAGGCGGCGGATCGCGCAAAAGGAGGCGCGCGCGCGGCCGGGAGCGCGGTCTGGGGAAGAGCCGCGAGATGCGCCTGACTCACATCTGCTGCTGCTGCCTCCTCTACCAGCTGGGGGTCCTGTCGAATGGGGTCGTTGCAGGTAAGTTCTTCCGAGACTTCGGGCTTGCTTTTCCAACTTCCCCAGCCAGAGACCAGGAACGCACGGGTCGCCGGGGCTGGCGCAACTATGCGCAGTGAGCAGGGCTTAGCGGGCAGCAATTAAAAAAAAAAAAAAGGAAAACCAGCGTGCGGGTGCTGGGCAGAGGGCTCCTGAGCGAAGCGCACTTCTCGTGGCCTCATTTCAACAACGTGAAATGCTTAGTTTTCCTCTCCTGAGAGTTAATAAGATGTGCAAAGGTACGTTTACAGCACCTGGAGGAAATCTGGGAAGTAAAGAAATTGATAGCGCTGCCTTACTCTGGCAGATACTTTTTTAATTGTGCTGGAGTGTTTGCACCGGTTTTCTTTTCTGCAACTAAGTGCTGTCACCATACTTTGCAGCCCCGCTTTCCCCCTCTCCCCGCCCCGATAATCGTACTTTTATTTTGAAAATGCTGGGGTCTGTAATCTGATCGCCACACTTCAGGGGTTGTAAGTTTCAGGGGCTAGACGGGTGGTCTGCAGCGCTTTAGCCGTGAGCCCTGTGTGCGGAGTGTGAACTCTGGGATGCTTGTGCTCCTGAGACCGCGGCTCTTTAAGCCCTGCACTTCTGTCTGCCCCGCCCGCAGGGCTGCAGTTCGCCCCCGACCGCGAGGAGTGGGAAGTCGTGTTTCCTGCACTCTGGCGCCGGGAGCCGGTGGACTCGGCCGGCGGCAGCGGGGGCAGCGCGGACCCAGGCTGGGCACGCGGAGCCCCGGGCGGCGGAGGCGTCCGGGCGCCGGCAGCCAGCAGCTCCCGCGAGGTGCGCTCCGTGGCCCCGGCGCCGCCTCAGGAGCCCGTGGAAGGCGGATCTGAGCCGCGGCCCCGACCCCCGCCGCCCGGGGGCGAAGAGGATGAGGAGCTCGAGTCTCACGAGCTGCCGCGGGGATCCAGCGGGGCTGCCGCCCTGTCCCCGGGCGCCCCGGCCTCGTGGCAGCCGCCGCCCCCGTCTCCGCCCCCAACCCAGCCAGCCGAGCCGGACGGCGACGAGGTTCTGCTGCGGATCCCGGCCTTCTCCCGGGATCTCTACCTGCTGCTCCGGAGAGACGGCCGCTTCCTGGCGCCGCGCTTCGCTGTGGAACAGAGGCCGAGTCCGGGCCCGGGCCCCACGCGGGCGGCAGCCGTCCCGCGCCCTCCCGCGCCGCCTGACGCCGCCTGCTTCTACACCGGGGCTGTGCTGCGGCACCCCGGCTCGCTGGCCTCTTTCAGCACCTGCGGGGGTGGCCTGGTAAGCGCCTTTCCTTCCCCAACTCTCTTCTTCCCCCTGCCACCCCTCCCTCTCCCCTTGTAGACCAGGCAGATTGGCCTGCACCTCATCCCGTTCAGAGCGCGCCCTGAATACACCACCCAAGAGTCTCCACCGTTTACCGCCCACGGAACACCTCCAGGGCAGTCGGTGAATCCTGAATCTAATTGAGTGGATAGTAGCCTTCTGCTAGACGCTTATAAAATTTTTTTTTGAATTACTAGGTAACACTGTCTCCTTGCAACACTTCCCACTGGTTTTGTTTCTGCTTTTCAAAATAAGCCCACCACGTGGTGTCTTTTAGGAGATTGGGAGATAACAGGTCCGTTCACTGCTCAAATCTCCTCCTCCTTGGTCCCCCCACCCCCAGTTTCTCATCTATTATCTCATAGTTTTTTTTTTTCTCATGTCGTACTTCAAAGTTGTCAGAACAGTTCCCCAGGGAGTTATATTTGACAGCTGTCTGGAATTTAAACACATCCACGCTCACACGGGACACCTGTTCACTGTTCTTGTGAGAAACGAGTGGAGGAGTTAAGTCAGAGGCCGCGAGCAGCTGACTAATGGATGACAGGAGAATCCAATCAGAACTTGAAGGGTTATGGTTCTAAGATTTAACATTTCTAAGGTTTACATACTATTTGGACATAGTGTCTTTTCCTTTCTCCACTCCAGGGAGAGTAGCACGGATGAGAGCCTGGCTCAGAGGCCAGTTGGAGCTAGAAAATAAAAGCCATTTGCTCAGTCTGAACAATAGGAATTATCATTCGATTTCCACCCCCTCTGTTTTGACCCAGGGTTTGGGATAATTGTTGCCTCCTGTTAAGTTGGCCTTTGCTTTGTGGTAGACATAACATGCAACGTAGAATTAACCATCGCTATACATCCATTGCAGTAGTGTTAAGTACATTCACCTTGTGTGGCCGTCATCACTGTGAACTTTAATATTTCTTTAAGGCAAAATCCACAAAGTATCATAAACACCGAGGTGATTTGTGTCTTCATTTTGATATTCCAATTGAGCCATTGGTGAGATCCACAAGGACTTCTCTAAAAGCAACCTGCTCATTTGGAGAAAAATCCAATAGTAATGGACAGCAGAAAACATCAGCACGGTCAAAGCCACCCAAAGCCATGAGATGGAAAACGATGCTTTAAAATCCAAGCAAAATGAAACTGGGAATTTTTACCTATGCCCTTCTAAGGTCCCATAGCAAAAGTGATGTAAAATGCTGAATAGGGCTATATTTTGGCAGATGCTCATAATGATGAGTATTCAAATATGGACATTTTTAGCCATAAGTGAAAAAAATGACATGGAAAAATTACATGAAAAACTTAAAAAAATGTTTTTTGTGGAACTAAAGTTTGAATACTTCACTGGGGGAGACACTGTAGGGATTTCATTGTCCACTGGTTTTTGGCCAGGGATTAAATAATTACATATAGAAAGTTCCTGATGCAGTAGAAGCAATAGGGGATAAAGCATTTCACTGTTGAAATGTGGGGTTTTGGTCAGATTTTCCAAATGAGCTATGCCTTCTCTCCATCCTTAAAGGAGTGAAGTTACAATTATGAGTAGGTTTTTCATAAACTGAATAGGAGTTTGACATACCTCCCTGTTTATCATGTTGGACTTTTATTCACTTTTCCTATTATCCACATATATATATATTCTGAACTGGGAAGTCATTGTTGTTGAGGAAAACTGACTTTACCAGAAATATAGCAGTCAGACTTGGAGTAAAAAGTTAGGCGAACAGCCAAGAAGGGTAGGTTTGTTACTCTAGACTCCACTATGCCAGCCTTTTCCCTTATGAGGGTGGATTAGGAAAGAGAAAGCATAATATGTTATCTGAGCTCTGACATTGGCCTATTCCCTGATGATTGACAAGTCTCTTACCTCTCTGGTATCGTTTTCATAAGTAAAATGAGAGTATCTGATGATTTAATTCTAGTTGGATGATAGAATGAGAATTTTCCTGCATGCTAAATATATTCTAGGGCCTTCCCTTGGGGCTTGCAGATTAGAACATCATATACAAGTGGATAGGATATAAGTGGTCATGAAACAGTGGCATACCAGCATGATAAATCAAATGTATGCCTGAGGCCAAGTCATGCTTAGGGAGTTTGGGAAGGCTTCCCAAGGGCAATAGAGGTTCAGTGGATTTTGAAGCATGAGAAGCCAAATTTCTCCAGGCACGGAAGGGCTGGTAATGCTGAGGATAGAGGGAAGAGACTGAGTGATGTGAAAATGTAGAGCCTATGAAGGGAGTGGAAAAAAAAAAAAGTTTCCTCTGAGGAGACCAGAAAGTGCAATAAGGGAAAGTGATCCTAAACTGTCAGGTGAGAGCAGACCTCAAACGTCAAACGTCTTGTCTGCTAGAACCTGGGCCATTTCTGTTCAACTGTTTATTATTGTAGGACTACATTGTTGTCCCTCTCTATTTCCAAAATTCTCTGATCCAGTAATTCTAATGTGAGGCATCATGATGTCTTTATATGAAGGTGCGTTCTTTATAAATGCAACTCCTTTAGTTTGCACCAGTTTCTTCTAATTAAAAGCTTTCTGGTTTAGATGGCAACCCACTCCAGTATTCTTGCCTGGAAAATCCCATGGACAGAGGAGCCTGGCGGGCTACAGTCCGTGGGGTCATGAAGAGTCTGACATGACTGAGTGACTGAACACACACATTAGTCTCTAATATTGAAAAATAATCTTATTTGAGGCATATATTAGATCTAATGAGCACATTAATAATAATAAATAATTAAACATTTATTGAACGACCCTTTTGAGCAAGGCATGGTATACAAAGAGAATACAAAAAGAAGATGAGGAAGGCTTAGTATGTTTCAAGGAGATCCCAATCTGGCTTGCCAGTCACAAATATAAATAGGGAAATAAAGTAGGTTGAGTTACATACAAATGTAGGAATGTCCCAAGTGCTGTGATGATACTCTCGTTCATCTGTTCATTTTCAGAACGTTGTAAGATATCTAGTTTTTAGAGACAACCAGTAAAAATCACTAAATAAAACTAGCATATGGTAGTTTATTCTGTTTTAAATAGTAATCTCTAAAAAAAAGTACAAGAAAGCAACAAATTAAATTCCGTGAAAGACTGAAAAAATCAGGTTTGTTCAAGATTAACACTTAAAAAAAAAAGCACACCTTAGCACTGGGCCAAGATAAACTAGATCAGTGCATTCCTTGCCTATGATTCTCTTTAGATGAACTATTGAAATGACTCTCAGTAATATTTAGATTATTTTCCCAGAATGATAAAGAGTAAGTACTCAACCTTAAATTCGGAGTTTTGTAAGTTTAGGGTTTTATATAGTAGTTGTTCTGAAAAGCTCTTGATACAAAATCTTTAGCCCTGTGTAAACTTTAGGTTTTTGAATTTACTCTCTTATGTAAATCAAAGTATTCTGAGCCATGGCAAGTTTTGAACACATATATTTGGGAGCATCCTTTTTGGACAAGGAGCCTCACCAAGTACCAGTACAGAAATAGGAGAGGAGGGTATGAGGACAGGGAAAGAGTTGTGCAGATCCAGGAGAACTGGACTAGAAGTGGAATCAGTATCCAAATGAAAAAGTGAGATTGCAGACTAGTTTCACACATCTAGTGACTTTGTTCAAGACAAATCTTAGGAATGACAGAGACAATATATTCTAAAAAAAGCTAAAGTAGTGCTCAAAAAGAATGCCGTCAGTACATCAGAAATTTTGAATATCTCTTGAAAGACTGCAAACTGTAGATCAGATTAATGGAAAACATATAGGTACTAGAGAACATGCATGAATGGTGGCAGGTATGGCCGAGGTGCTGCTGCACACATGGGGAAAGAGAAGGCCATGAACAGACGGGCACCCTGGGATGGCAGCAGTCCTGGGCTTGTCTGCTGTCTGGTTGTGCCAAGCAACAGAGGCCAAACGTGTGTCCCTGGGCAAGAGTGGAGAGAATAGCGGTAGAGCTTTCCAGACATGCACGCGATACCAGAGGATAGAGTCTCCACTCTCAGAGCCTGAGCCATTGGCTTCCTGCATCCAGCAGGTGGTCCCACATGTCTCTCCAAACAACTAGAGGCGAGCTGGTCACAACAGATGGGTGAACAGGAAACCATACAGAAAGGAGCTGACACCTATGAATATCACACTCTTAAGAAAACAAACCATATAAAAGAGGGTCATCAAACCGGTTGATTAAAACCATGGAGCAACAATCGTAATAGATGACGTAGAATGCTTTAACTGAAATGTAAGAAGGATATATATCCTATGGACAGAGGGATCTGGCAGGCTATAGTCCATAGCGTCACAAAAAGTGCTCAGGGCTGGTGCACTGGGATGACCCAGAGGGATGGGATGGGGAGGGAGGTTGGAGAGGGGTTCAGGATGGGGAACACATGTACACCCATGGCTGATTCATGTCACTGTATGGCAAAAACACTATAATATTATAAAGTAATTGGCTGCCAATTAAAATAAATAAATTTTAAAATAAANCTTTTTCCAGAATTTTCATGAAATCAAAGACGTGTTTTGCACTCCTATTTCCCAGACATCAGTATTTAGGGTTTGATTAAATTATGTGATTACTAAATGTTGTGAACATGTGTTCAAACAAATATAGCTGATTCTTGGTGAACATGCAGGCTGACTGGTGGGAGTAATTGTGTGCAGCAAGATGAGAGAGGAATTAATTGCTGTGAGCGTTGAGCACATTGCATGTGTTGATTCATTCAGTGATTTGAGATGAATTAGCTGCTGGAGTCTGTGTTGTTTAGGTAGAGGGTAAGAGCTTTCTATGATGTCAATCAAATTTGCCCCAGAGATAAAGGCGGTTGTACACCTTCAGACGGAAGGCTCAGCCATTAAACTCAGAGTAGCATAAACACAGACCCAAACCTGGACTCATCGTGGCAGAATATTAGAAAGTCAGAGAGAAGGAGAAAAATTCCACGTGTTTAG